CCTCTACCAAACCTGTAACTGGGCCGTCACGCACTATACCTGAGCTAGAGCCTGGTTCTTCTTGTACAGCCATTATTTCATGCTGTGTGCGTAAGTGTGACATGTCTATAATCACACATACATGTATTGTTTGTAGGTCTGACATACCAGAAGGTAAAAACACTGACATGCCGAGCCCTCACAACAAAGAGGAGCTACCGGCCCAGTTACAGGTTTGGTAGAGTGTGACTGACCCGATCCAGCAGCAGCACCCCACTTTCATCCATGTTGAAATGGGCTTTGATGCCTTTTGACTCTGCATCTGTGTGCTTCTGGAAGCTGTCGCCTACTCCAGACAGTTTGACTGTGGTCAGGTTCAAAGAGCCAAACACACTGTGAAACACAGGCAGAGAGGAGAGCAGGGCTTCATTCACATCATGACGGAACACAGCGATTGCCAAAAGCAACATGGGAGGATAATACATTTGAAGTAGAATGCTATAACCCATAATAAAACGTTTTCTGTACACTGGTTGCTTTTTTATTACTATCCGTACAGCGAAGTCATTAACACTGCTAACGTAGCTAGCAACTAACTAACCTGAGGTCGTCCTGACTGAGGAAGCCGAGGTCGCCGTAGTTGATGTAGAAATCAAAGTCAGCATTGTAGCGGTTGAATGTGATGACCTTGCGCTGGGGGTAGGGCGCCATCCTCTGGAAGAGGACGCGCTTGTTGTGTTTAAGGCTCTTGATCCCCTCTTCCTCCTCCGTCTCTCGTGTGAACTCCACCTGATGGAGTTATATAACGTGGTGTTAACACGGCTTCGATTCAGGATGTATTTTTACATCTAATGTTGTAACTGAACAATGCATCCTATATGGATTTTAGTCCTGTTCAAAAAGAAAAGGCAACAATGTAAAAATGAGGGAGAGTACATATTAAAAAAATAAATAAAATTTTTTTTTTAAAAAAACTAAAAAAAGAACCCTGCATATCCATCAAAGGGGATGTTATTGAGACTCCAGCAGCCTGAGGCAGTGAAGGACCTGCACTGACCTGGATGGGGAAGACCGCTGCGTCTCGCACCAGGAAAGGTTTGACCTTGAAGGCCTTGCTGAGGGCTGCGGCCTGGTACACGGCGCCCATGGCTGCTGCCTCGTCTGCATTGATGTTCTTCCCCAGCTCATCCCTGCACAGACAAATACACCATAACAGCTGCAGCTCCTCTCAATCCAACGGAACCTGCCGAGGTAAAACTCAGCATTCTCTAATTCATCACAAGCCTGTTAATTGCAAAGTAGGTTTTCACATAACAGGTATTTGCTTTGGTGCATAAACAATACAACTATAAAATAAAAATAGAAGTCAAGAAACATAAATATAGAATAGAAGAACTACAATAAGAATATATAAAATTATTAAATATGTACAATACATCTCAAATGAAAGATGCTGAAAGGTAAAGTTATTCTGTGTGCTGACACCTACTTCTCCACAGCTTTGAGCAGCACTTCCTGAACCTTGGGAACACGGGTGGAGCCACCTACTAAAATCACCTGCTCAATTTCATCCTGTTGGCAGAAATAAGAACTCAGATTCCCAGCAGTGATGCAAACATCCATTCAAAAATAATTCACATTTCATCTGTCCAAACAGCTTAAGATGCAAATGACCTAAACATGTTTTGTCAAAATGAGTTTTGCTTTCGTGCCACTAATCACTTCATTTACCAATCAAACCACATTTTGTTGTAATGCAGTTCCAGTGCACACAAACTTTTCAAATGACAAATACATCTTGTGTCTGGCAGTTAATCTTCTTTACAAAGTGGTTGGCTGCACGACAATACCATATCATATGTATATAGGAGTCCATACACTTTCATTTCTATCCAACTTTCCTGTATCCTGCATCTGCAGTGACATACAGGGATCCCCAAAGTTTCATCTTATCCTGTCATGTGGGACAAACAAGCTGCACTGGATGAGACATCTACTGACAATACTAACCAACTTCATTTCTGCGGTGGAGAGAGCATCCTGCACCGGACCCGGCACTCTTTCAAAGAGATCAGCACACAGCTCTTCAAAATCAGTCCGGGTCACCTTAGCTTTGAAGTCAATGTCATCCAGCAAACCTTCCACCTGAAAACAAAAACATGTTTTCTTTCACTGCATTGGTGCTGCATCCAGGAGCTCCATCTATTAGGAGTCTATCACTGATCTGACTTCTCATAGAAATAACCAAGAGACTGCAACATTTCAAACACCTTGAAAACAAGGAATTTAAGATTTTGAAAATATTAGTTTTAAAATTTGGAGAACTTTGTTTTCGACGCACAACAAGCAAGCTGGTGTGAGTGTTCACGTCCCTGGACTCACCTGGGCCATAAAATCCACATTTGCACTGAGCACTGTCTTGAGCCTCTGAGCCTCTTTGAGAAGCTTGGCCATGGCCCGGTGGTTCTCCCTCACATCCTTCTTGCTCTTCTTCTGTTCGTTGAACAGTTTGGCCAAGTGGTCCCGGAGACGCAGGTCCATCTCAAAGCCCCCCAGTCCACGGTCAAACCTACATCCAGAACAAGAGAGAACACCCGAGACTGAGGACATGTGGTTTGGGGGGGGGGGGGGGGGTTTCAATCCGCTCAATCAAAAACCACAAGCATTTACTATCTTTTATATTCAAAGACTCAGATGGTCTTATCTGTGGATGTTGAAGAGCTTTAATGGCTCAGGTAGGATTAGAAAAAGAAAGACAGAATTTCACCATAAAACCCAGGTTCTGTCATAAAACCTGATAATTATTCCTTTACCCTCAACCATCTTTATCCATACATTTAAGTGGGTGGCTGAGTGTGGGGAGGGGATTTTATCAGCACACCAGCTCCTGGTCCATGTTGAGTGTAATTAAGATTGATGTATCAGTTTTCAGATACTGTTTTACCTGAGCAAGTAGTACTAAACACTTCCTGGGAAATACATCAGCAGAGTTTGGCTCCTGGGGCAGCATTTATAAACTCTGATTCTCTTATTCCAACACGGCAGCTCAGGATAACATCAGAAATACAACATGTACCCATTATTGTCTTTTATTGAAAAACAAAACAAACACATGAACTGTTAATCAGGTCAATGAATTATACATGCAACATTTCCATCAGGTAGACCGGATCCTAGGTTTAATTCTTTGAGCCCCCTTTGCCCACAGACTCCCAGTACTTTTGCTCTCTGCTTTGGTAACAGAAAAAGTCAGACTTCAAACTGTATCACATCCTAATTGTGAGATTATATTGTATACATTTTACCTGACTGAATAACCCACAGGTCTCAGTGTTGGACTAAGATAAATGTGCCTTGTGATACAGGACCCTGGCTTACGGACAAATCTGGATTCCTTCCTAATCTTAAACCACACTTTTAGGTTTTTCCCCTCTATTTAACCACTGAAAAATATTGGATTTATATTTTTGTCTATCCACAAACCACATTGTAAAATCTGCTCTGTACAAAAAACTAAACTTGCACAGCGAGACCAGGCGGTAATGAACACAACCTTATTTCATAAATGCATTTTTCATGTCAGAAGGGTCAACAGTCACCACCTCCTCCTACCTTGCTGTTGAAGCTAACAGGAGCTAGCAGCTAAGCGGCAGGGAGCATGAGCCGGGCATAGGACAACTTCAGTCTTGTTCGCTTCCAGGACCCTGAAGCGAGCAAGAAAGATTGTAGCCGAACCCTCTCACCCTGGACATAAACCGTTCGTGCCCCTTCCATCTGGCAGGAGGCTGAGGTCCATCAGGACCAAGACATCACGCCACATGAACAGTTTTTTCCCTTCTGTAGTCGGGCTCATCAACAAAGCCCGGGACCCCCACTGACTCTGTCATCCCCGAGACAATTTCCTACCGATACACTCCCCTGCGAATCCCTTCTATGTTTCTATATTTAAATACACTTGACACTTTTACATCACTTACTTTATACTTGTTTATAGTACTGTTATCCGTTTGTGCACTTTATTATATATTTTATTGTGAATTTTAATACGTTTCTATTTTTTGCACTGTGTTGATTGTTTAATGTTATGCACCATCTCACTCACACTCACAGTCAACACTACTCAGCCACAATGCTGGACTCACCCGACTCCTCGGATCTGTAACTGGGGCTGGGTCCCAGCCTCCTTGGTTTTGACTGTCTGATAAGTGACGATGGTGGCCGTTGTGCTGCCTGAGCCCATGTCATAAAACATCACATTCTGAAAAGGGAACATCAGACTTTAAGCAATTTGTAGTCACTCAGATGAGCTCGTTTTCCTACACAGTGGCAGATACAATGGGAATTCTCATCATGCACTGCTCTACCTAATGGTGAGATATATTTAAGGATAAAGCTGTGGATGTTCTATATTTGTTATTGTCAACAAAACCAACAATGTGCTAGTCTGTCTCTCAATACTTTCTGACTTCCCTACTCTGTAAAATAGAGGAGAAGTGTGGCAGCATATCATTGTGGTCCAACACATGCACAGTAGAATCTGGTCTGCACTTGGAGAGATTCATTTCACGGATGGTTGTAGCCTACTTTATGATATTTAATAAAAGACTATAAACAAATGCTTTCTATCTGAAAATGTTCTATTGCATATCGGCCGCCATCCAGTCGAGCGTACCCAAAGAGCATCTGAGTGGACCATAAACGCTCAGACCTGGTTGCTAGGTACATACATTGTTATTATGGATCTGCATATGAGATTTGTTAATAATAAAAGAAATATAGAATATCACCAGGATGATTCTTAACATGTCTTTGGGAAGAATGCTGGAAGTGCACCTTAACAGTGTTGTCAATGTCTTTCCTCCTGAACACCCCATAGTTCAAGGCCACAGCTGTGTTGTCGTTGATGAGTTGAAGGACCTTTACACCTCCCATCCGTGCAGACTGCAGGACTGCCCTGCGCTCTGCCTGGTTAAAAAAGGCGGGGACGGTGATCACTGCATCTTTGATTGGTTGTTCTGTGATCAGGAGGAGGAAGAACTTAATAGATGCTTCACATATTCAAACATTCAGTGATACATCTTCAGAGAGCAAACTGACCTGCGAAGTCCTGAGCAAGTCCACGAGAATAATTGAGCAGCATCCCGAGGAGCTCCTCAGGTGTGAACTGCATTTTTCTGGCAGAACAAACCACACAGAGCCAGATTAGATGACTCAGTCCCAACCACAATCTATTGATAACGTTTTGCAGGTGTTGCTCTGACAACTGTTATCGTAACTCTAAACGCTACAGTGCCTCAATACTGTAGGGAGTTCTACTGTATACACCATGTAGAAACTAAATGACAGACACACCACCTATATGACTTCTGAGGTCAGGGGTTACCATGCAAATTATTTTACAGTAACAGACAAATGATTTCAGATAGCATGTATTGCATGATGGGAAACGGAGTAAAGAGACTTACTCTGAGTTCTTAAAGTAGACTGTGCCTCTCACTGGGTCTTCCAGTAGTTGGTGCTCAGGAAAACGTTTCTGGTAGAGCGCCACCTGGAGGTTATCGTGCTTTTTGCCCAGGAGGCCTTGGAGGTGTCTATAAACAGTTTTGGGGTTCTTCACAGACTGAAACATATCCAATATGTGACCATTAATAGCATACAAGGACAAGATAGTTTAATTTGAACTGTGGAACTGTGAGACAGCGTAAAGGATATTCATGAGATTACGCAGATATTGCATCAAACTCTATTCTGGACATTTGAGAAGAAGTCATACCACTCCCAGGGCACTGTCTCCCAAAAGTCTTTCATCTTCCTTCAGACATACGGTTGTGGGTGTTTTCCTCCTCGACTCCCTAAATAAAAACACAGCAGACATTGTGTTGCGCTCCGAAACGTACTTTCACTCTGTATTCACATGGAAATAGAAAACTTGAGTGTGGGCAAGCCAAGTGTGTACGCTCACTGTACCATGATCATGGCAAACACTCACTTGTTGAGAACAATCTCCATCGGCACACCAGGTTTCACGATCGCTACTTTCATCCACTCACTGCCCAGGTCAACGGACATGACGGCTACAGTCACTGCAGACACAAAATTACATAAAGACATGAACACCAACGACCCCACAGGTATAGAAGAACTGCATTATGGATCTGGCTTATCCATTTCCAAACACTGATCGATAACGGCTGTATGAAGTGTGACAGTGTTGTAAAACTAGACTGGTGCTTAACGCTCTGTGTGTTTTTACCAGCACCGATCACCACTACGACCAGGGCTTCATGTTAGGGAAATATGTTGATGGATCACATTACCTGTGTGAGAGGGCAACAGCGCCAGAACAAGGCCAAAGAGAACAAGTGGCGCCAGCTTCCTTTCCAGCATGATGAGCTGAATGATGAACAGATCAAACATTATAATCAACTGAATCCCTACATGTGTTGTGACAACCTCATCACACACCACCATCAATACAGAACACCTTTAATTCCCAGCTCTTCTTTGTCCTTCCACCTGCAATGTAGAGACACCTTTTGTCCAGTCGTGTTGTACTTGTCACTCATGTCTGGCAGGTGCAACCCCAAAGAGGAACATTGATAAGCCAAACCTGCCCTTTTTGTTAACTTCACACAGGATATTTACATCAGTCTTTTGATAAATGCCATACATTGCTTCTGTTTCCTTGTGGTTCTTCAGTGCTAATATGGCTGTGATCACTGTAACCTAAAGCAGTGCCACTAACAGGTAGTGCCATGGACTTTGCCCAAGGATATTCAAAGCAGTTAATGCACCTGATCCCACCCACACAATAGGTGTAGACAGTTCCAAACACATGGCCTTAACATCATTCACAAGCTCTGATGTTGTCTAAAGCTTTAATATCTGCAATGAACCACTCTGCACTCACAGGGAAGTATGGGTTTCATTTTCAAAGCTGCAGATGTATCCTGTAGCAAGAGCTTCAGATTCAGTACCGTGACATCAAAACCAGGACATTGTGTGTTTCAGGGAGAAACTTCTGTTCGCCCAGGTGAGACTGTGACGCTTGAATGCAAAATGGATGAAATGAAAGCCTCACTGAAATAAAACTAAATGTAAAAACACTCCGGTCTTTAGCTTATGGACATCACTTGGATGAAGTGGCTGGTTGTAGGAGAAGCTGCTGATGTGCATTAGCTAGAACGTTACAGCCACGTCGGATACAATGATTAGCATTTATCGTTAAACCTTAAACGGTTCAAAAACGCAACCGGACAATGTGGACCTTCTCTGGACCTTCTCTGGACCTTTCCAGATAAAAGCTAGCGGTACTAGTTGGAAGAAATAGCACAACATAAGTTGACAGCTACTGTTAGCTAGCTCACTGTCTGACAACCATCAATATGTAAGCATGAGTGACACACTGAGCTGTGGCAGGAACTCAACTTACCTTACTATCCGACCACAAATACAAGTGTTGAGTGTGCTTCTCCGAGCGGTTCTGAGGTTCGTTTCCTGGTCTTGCCTTGATTCAGAGCCTCTTTGTGTCACACTTTGCCGTTTTCCGCTCCTCTTATCACCGGTTCGCTCTCAACTACCGGGCCCGGAATGCAGCGTCACCTCATTGGATACACTGATGCCGCTGCGCTGGGAGAAAAACTATTGTCACGCTAACAACAACAAACATACTGTTTCCGGTTAGCATTTAAGTGCAAAACGCAACGTAGCCTAACAGACAGGTATTGCAACTAACTCTAATAGCTATTTTTGATCGGGCACTAACTCAAAATTAATAACAGTAAATGGGGATCCAAGTAACTATGCAATGCATTTAAAAATAAAATAATAGCTGTGAATGACATTCTAAAAGTAAAGTTATATTACCTTTTAGGACCCAATAAATAAAGCTAGCAAAACAAACACAGGGAAAGGTGTACAGTGCGATAACATCATATCACTTCACAATTACAGCAAAGATGTTATTAAAGGGCTAACGCTTAAGTGTTTGAATATTTGTACTGGCAGAGACGATTGATGTGCTCTTGTTTTGAAAGGGAAAACCCATTTTGTCCGGTAATTAACTCCAGCTGTCTTGACGCCTGGTGCAATAACCGGCAATAACTGTCCAATCCAGAGCCCGCCCATCGCGCTCCACGCACTGCACCGTGATTGGTCCACGTGAGACGAGTGACGTCGAAAAACATCTGGCTACTGTTAATTGGTCCACGTCCAGATAGTGGGCGTAAATTGAATGACGATACTTCCAGGAAAAGTGAGAGCAAACCACATGCCTTCTTAAATTAATTGATTTAGTTAATTTTTAAATGCTTTGTTGTTTATCTTAATTTTGTCTTTTCATTATAAAGCATGTACTCTTGACCTGTACACTGATATTCTGAAATCAACATATTTTACAGATATTCTATATAAAGCAGTAAGAAGATGTAAAATGTGTTATAGTTCAACTTATGTGCATAAATATGACTCTTCCATGACATTTAAAAGGAATGAATAATCTTATCTTTGCAAAGATCAAGAAAGGCCTCTCTCATTGTGACGAATAATGGAGTAACCCGTTAAGCTTTTGAAGAAAAAGAAATGTCTACCATCAAAAACACAGATAAAAACAATGCAGCAGCAAGAGAAGATAGACCTACATTAAGGTATCACTTGGTATAAGCACAAAAGTGGACCTTCAAGTTCATGGACCAGTGTGCATTTCTCCAAGTGCATCACAGAACAGGGTTTGAACAGGTGTTGTTCTGAAGAGCCAGCACAAGTAACACTCAGCTGAAATACATATCCTGTACGTCATAGTTGACAACTGTTCATGTGATGTGATATGATATGATAATCATGTAGTAATGTAATATATGATTTCATCATATGACCCATAACCCATGAGACCCACAGACAATGCTATATCAAGAAATTCACTTAATAATTATTTTATTCACAATTTGAATCCTCAAGTTAGAGTGGCAGACATCAGATAATTTCATCAATGAGAGACAGTTAACCTATTTTTGAGTGTTATGTGCAAGATTTATAATTAGTACAAGCAAATGCATCGAAAGAAAAATACTCAAAAAGGTGTGATTCAGCAAGGTTTAAGACACAGTATTACATGTTTTTAACTAAAGTACATTTATACAGTCCCCAGTGCTTCATGACTAGAAACACAATGCAAATAGGTACATCCCAGCTTCTAAAAGCAGGCAGCTGCATTCACTGCTAAATAAAGTGGCACCCCAGTGTGAAGCGGCAAAGCATATGGTGGAGAGGCTGTCCTGATGTGAGGCTGCACACAAAGTGCCTGCTCAGGTAGGATTCAAACAGTCATCACAAGCTGAGCTTTTCAGCAATTTCTCTTGGTGTGGACGAGAAGGTCTCTCTGCAGGTTCACTTCCAGGCTCCCGACGGTTTTGCTGCCAGGTGGGTCGGTGACCAGAGTCAGTTTGTTGAACACTCCTCGACCAAAATAGTCAGCCACGACAGAGAAACCATCATTAGAGCTGCGTAACTGAAAACCATAGAGAAGACACAAGAATTTGCATTAACTCAAACATTCCAAGAGTGTTTAGAGGGTGAACACGCAACTTCTATCGTTTCTTCCAGTCAAAGCTCAAGTATTGTCACCTGTCTGTTGAAGTGGTCATGCAGGTCGCGTTTCTGGTCCTGGGCACGCAGCATGTCCATGACTTTGCGGTTTTCTGGAGTGCATGTTGGGCACTCAGCCTCGCTCTCGGCGTAGCTTTCGAAGCAGTGTTGGTGGAAGGAGTGGCTGCACAGGAAATGAACAGACGGCAGCTCCAGGGGGCTGTTGCACATGTTACACTTGGTCTTCTGGAATATCTTGGCACTGTGTAGAAATACAAAGATCTTCAGTCATATTATCTAGTTGATAATCAATTAAATACTTGGGAATGATACATATGTAACCCACCTGGTTTTGAGCTCCTGGATCTCAGAGCGGAGGTGAGCCGTTTCGTCACGGTACTGGTGGATTTTGCGTTCATCGTCCTCTATCTGCTGGCTCTCCCTCTGCAGCTTATTGATGAGGTAGTCCTTGATGACGGAGAGAGTGGCTGTCGAGTTGTGTGCCAGTGTTTGCACCACTACGGCAGAAGAAAAAGCATGGCTGTAATCATGTGCTTCTTTTCAAACAACATCTTACCAATGCTAAGAAATCTCAAAACCCAAAGAGGATCGCACGCAGCATTAAGTAAAACGTCCAGCAGCTAACCAAGTAATGGAGGCATCAGGTTGTTTTGGTCTATGTGAAGTAGGACCTCACTGATGTAGGCCTTGCAGTCCTCTTCTTTCCTGGCAAAGTATCCCAATGCCTGCTCCCATAGGCAACCCTCTTGATCCCCATAGCGCTGGCAGGCCTCTACCACTTTCCCATACTCCTCATTCTGCATGTGGTAGTGCATAATCTGCTGGTACCTGCACAAGAATGCAAATCATGTAGATAGATATTTATATATAGGTACATTCATACATATTCATACACTGTTCTCTCACTTACAGTTTACCCTTCTCATAAAGGTAGAGGACGCCTTCTTTGAAGTTGTGCATCTGGCAGAGGACCAGGGCCTTATCGAACACAGTGCTGTCACTCCTCAACAGGGACACGGCTTCCCCCTGCAGGACTTTTTTCCTCTACCAAACATATGCATCAGTAAAAAAAGTTTAAATGATTTTTCCCTGGTTAAACTAAATTTCTGCAAAGCCTTCGAATTTTTTGGGATTGGCATAACCACACAGCGATCTGCTACAGCAACCTGTATGTATTATACTATATACAGTCAGGCCATAAGTATTTGGACTGTGACACAATCTTTCAAATTTTGCCTCTACACGACTCAATGGATTTGAAACTACACAGGTCAATATGTGGTTGAAGTGTAGACTTTCAGCTTTAATTCAATGGATATAACAAAAATATCACAATAACCATTTAGGAATTACAACCACTTTTACACAGCCCCCCACATTTTCAGAGGCTCAAAAGTAATTGGACAGCTGTCTGACAAACAGTTTCATGGCCAGATGTGGCCTATTCTGTCACTATTTCATGACAAATGATGCCGACTTCAGGATTCAAAATTTCAGAATTTGCACTTGGCAGCTGGTCCTTGGAACTCTCAGCATGCGGACCAAAAAGATGTCAATGCAAGTGAAAGAGGCCATTATTAGGTTGAAAAAAAAAACTTAAACCTATCAGTCAGATAGCAGAAACATTCGGATTGGCCAAATAAACAGTTTGGTATATTCTTCAAAAGAAGGAATGCACTGGCAAGCTCACCAACACCAAAAGGCCCAGAAGACCACAGATGACATAAGTGGATGGTTGCAGAATTCTTACCTTGGTGAAGAAAAACCCCTTCATAACATCTACTGAAGTCAAGAACACTCTGGAGGATGTAGGCGCATCATTGTCAAAATCTACAATCAAGAGACGCCTTCATGAATCTAAATACAAAGGGTGCAAACCACTGGTAACACTGAAGAACAGGAAGGCCCGATTAGACTTTGCCAGAAAACATCTTACAAAGCCTGACCAGTTTTGGAAAAAGATTCTCTGGGCAGATGAAACAAAGATTAACTTGTACCAGAATGATGGGAGGAGAGAAGTGTGGAGAAGGAAAGGAACGGCTCATGATCCAAAGCATACCACATCATCTGTTTAACATGGTGGAGGCAGTGCTTTGGATGGGCATGTATGGCTGCTAATGGAACTGGGTCACTGGTGTTCATTGGTGATGTCAGCTGATAGAAGCAGCAGGATGAGTTCTGAGGTGTTTAAGGCTAAACTATCTGCTCAGAGTCAGCCTAATGCTACAAAACTGATTGGACGGCGCCTCACAGTGCAGATGGATTATGACCCAAAAGATAATGTGAAAACAACCCAAGAGCTTCTCAAGGCAAAGGAATAGAATATTCTTCAATGGCTAAGTCAATCACCTGATCGCAACCCAAGTGAGCAGGCGTTTCACTTACTTAAGATAAAACTAATGGCAGAAAGACCCACAAACAGGCAGCAGCTGAAGGAGGCTGCAGTGAAAGGTCTGGCAAAGCATCTCAAGGGAGGAAACTCACCGTTTGGTGATGTCTATGGTGCCAGACTTCAGGCAATCATTGCCTGCAAAGGCTTTTCCTCCAAGTATTAAAAATAATGATTATATTCACAATTATGTTAGTTTGTCCAATTACTTTTGAGCCTCTGAAAATGTGGGGGGCTGTGTAAAAATGGCTGTAATTCCTAAATGGTTATTGTGATTTCTTTGTTATATGCATTGATTTAAAGCTTAAAGTCTACACTTCAACAACATATTGACTGATTCATTTTAAATCTATTGGAGTCGTGTAAAGAGGCAAAATTAGAAAAGTTGTGTCACAGTCCAAATACTTATGGCCCTGACTGTATATGTGTAAGGATTAATAGCTAGTTTGCGCGTTATGGACTGACCACAGGGTCCTGTTCGTGCGCCCAGTCTTGTAGCCGGAGCTCCAGCAGTGTGTCATACACTCCCTGGGGACAACGGGAGTCCACCTCCATCATGTGTTCCAGGAAGGCTTTCAGCTCCCGAGGGTTGTTGGCAAAAATTGGGATGAATTCCTCGGAGTTGGCCTTATAACAAAACAAATATGGACAGGCATAAGAAAATCACGTGAAAATGACAGGAGTTTCTTATTAAACACAAAGAAAACCAGAAGCCCTGCAGACTGACCTTGTTGGCCCGACCCCTACCCAGGCTGTCTCTTTCAGCAGCTTCTCCACTGGGTTGGTAGTTGGTGCATAAACCCTTCAGAAGCCACGTGGTGCCTTCAGGAACATGGTGCATCAGTGTTTTGCCGTAACGCTTCATGTTGCTCTCAGCTTGTTCAAAAGGCAGACGTCCAATGTAACGCAGCCCTTCCTGATAGTTCTGGGTTTTGGAAGGAATCATAACGGCTTAATGTATCTGTTGAAGCGATGCTTGTTTTCATTCAGACAGGAGTGACTGAGATGGAGAGCAGCAAGATACAAATGTTCTAAAAGGATAAAGACTGTACATTTTGCCGTTGAAGCCTTAAATAATGACTATAATGAGCGAGGGATGCTCGCCACCACCTGTTACAATAAACCTATTGCAATCCAAAACCAGGTTGACTTGAGACTATGTAAAGCATTTTGCTTGATATTAATATATTCATATATGCAGTTGGATGAATGAAGATTGAAATTTAGGAAGAGACTTGCATATTAAACTGTATCCATGTTGGTAATTTTAATGGCTGCTCATCTAAATGATGTGATATTTGGCAAAGTGTCAATTCATTTTCTAACAGTTTTCTGAAACAATGTTTCAGCTCTCACTGGACAAATTTGGACAAATGAAATGAAAGATGGTTTGAAGAAGGGATATTAATATTTAACCATTTCACCATTAACCGTCAATAAGTATTTTGACCAATTAATGCCGACAGTCAAACAGTTTAAAGAAATATTAAAAACTTTAAAAAGGAGCTGTGCAAAACTCAGAGGAGCGGCTCATTACTTAAAGGAGAATAGCCGGTCCACCTTAAGGGTCAGTCCACCTTAAGTGAGCCTGAGCCGGAGTTGTTGCTAACTTCGGGGCTAACCCCCTTCACATTAAATAGCAGGTGGCAACAAGACACAGGAGCTGAGCTTGGGTCTCCTCACAGGTCTTACAGCTGACAACCTCACAGCTTAACTACTTGATGAAACATCAGTCAAACTTCAGACAGCACTGCACACCTGCTTTGGCTACTGGCAGTTTGTGTTCACGCTGACAACAATCACCTGATTAGACAATCACCTTCCTCTGAGTTCTAACTCAGAGGAAGGTGTGGGACATTTGTTGGAAATCATAACAGGGAAAAAAGAATATTGGATGGTATTTGCATGTTTCTTCACCTTAAGGTCTTCCAGCTGGATCTTCAGGTACCATTCATGGTGCATGTGTTTCTCAGCCAAGAAGACAGCATGGCTGTGGTAACCGGCCTGCCGAAGAACCTTGATGGCGATCTCAACATCGAAGTGGACCTCACTTTCACTACTCTGTTGAAATACGGAGCAGGAGGACAATGATGTTATATGGCAGCAATTAGTGACCTGATTGTTAAGAAAGTAACCTTTAAACTATGTGTTGTATTGTTACTGCAGCCCATTGGTTCTCTGATGGAAAACACTTAGTAGTTCATCCCTTACTCCTACTGGTCAGTCACCTTAATGAACTCCTCGAGCTTGGAGCTGTCCTTCAGCTTGGTGTAACAGTTCAGCAGCAGTGTGGTGTGGTCTGCGTTGGCCAGTGACTGTCTGTGCAGGGCCTGCAGATATGCGGTCAGGTTGTGGATCCTCTGCGCGTCCAAGAATTTCCTGATGACATACGATGGCTCTAGTTTCCCAATGGTGCTGTGGGAAAAGAGAGTGATGTTTTAAAAGTGGTTTTATCAATGGGGAGAGTGATCAGCAATCCAGTCTCTGACAGCTGGGCGATTTTAGAGCAATAAGTTTAACATCCAAGTGACATTGTAAATGAATTAAGACCACAGAATCATCATCATGGCTCTCTCTCTGAGAGATGAGGAGTGAGCCATCCTTCTCACTGGAATTCTCTGAATTGGGCATTCAAGAGAAAAATGGCAGCAGGTAAAGACAAAATGTATTGGCTGAAGTGCAAGAGAGTCTTTGGATCATCCTGGAAACAGCAGTTCAGTTGGGTGGCATATTAATTTACTTCAATAAAGATTAAACATAACAATTTTGGTCTTTGTTGTTATTTGATCAGCGCTAAAGATTGACTCTGGGCATGTAGATTTCTGACACACTTGCCCGAGCAGGCAAGAGAAAATGAACGTTGAACCCTGACATTTAACATCCAACCTTAGACAACAGTTTCAGCACTGGAAAATGTTTAGTGATGCAATTACCGGATGTACTGCTGGATGGCCCCGTCATGGTCTCCCTTAAGGTAAAGGTGGTCCCCGTACTGTCTGAAGATCTCCGACAGCCCGTCACTGTCCAGGTGCTGGCTCTTAGCCAGGTTTATGGCCATTACAAACAGATTCTTCTTAAACAGCATCTTAAGAGACAAACAAGGAGGAGTCAAGACTGCTCCCTGATCCATTTGATTTATAAAAGGACCGAACTTTTCATTACTGTTCCTGCTTGTGCAGTAGGGCCTTCCACTCTGGACTCACCTCCAGTTTGGTCTGTGTGTCTTTCTCCTGAAGAACAGACATTCTTCCATCTCTGGTGAGGATGTAGAACGAGCCCCACTCTGCCACCACATCTACGACGTCATCAAAGGAGGCACTGTAGGCGATGAACTTGTTGTCCAGGTCATAGATGGTCAGAAGCTGCTTGTCTGATGGAGAGCTGCTACCAAACTCTGTCCTGAGTAGAAGAACAACCCTGTCAAAGGTCTCATAGGAAACAGTGAGACTTTGGAAAGTTGCTCATCAACTGCTCGACTAAAATTTCATCTCCTCACCTCTGGCATAACATCACCTCACTGGTGATGCACAGCACGTTTTCAAGACAGTGTTGAATAACAAGCTCTGTTTGACACACTGTTTACATGGAATAGTTTCTTCTTTTATAACAAAGCCAAGTCCATTTTATTTCTTTAGCCCAGTATCAGACATATACAGTGGGTACGGAATGTATTCAGACCCCTTTACATTTTTCACTCTGTTTCATTGCAGCCATTTGCTAAAATCAAAAAAGTTCATTTTATTTCTCATTAATGTACACTCGGCACCCCATCTTGACAGAAAAAAACAGAAATGTAGAAATTTTTGCAAATTTATTAAAAAAGAAAAACTGAAATATCACATGGTCATAAGTATTCAGACCCTTTGCTCAGTATTGAGTAGAAGCACCCTTTTGAGCTAGTACAGCCATGAGTCTTCTTGGGAATGATGCAACAACCTTTTCACACCTGGATTTGGGGATCCTCTGCCATTCTTCCTTGCAGATCCTCTCCAGTTCCGTCAGGTTGGATGGTGAACGTTGGTGGACAGCCATTTTCAGGTCTCTCCAGAGATGCTCAATTGGGTTTAGGTCAGGGCTCTGGCTGGGCCAGTCAAGAATGGTCACAGAGTTGTTCCGAAGCCACTCCTTTGTTATTTTAGCTGTGTGCTTAGGGTCATTGTCTTGTTGGAAGGTGAACCTTCGGCCCAGTCTGAGGTCCAGAGCACTCTGGAAGAGGTTTTCTTCCAGGATATCTCTGTACTTGGCCGCATTCATCATTCCTTCAATTGCAACCAGTCGTCCTGTCCCTGCAGCTGAAAAACACCCCCATAGCATGATGCTGCCACCACCATGTTTCACTGTTGGGATTGTATTGGGCAGGTGATGAGCAGTGCCTGGTTTTCTCCACACATACCGCTTAGAATTAACGCCAAAAATTTCAATCTTGGTCTCATCAGACCAGAGAATCTTATTTCTCATAGTCTGGGAGTCCTTCATGTGTTTTTTGGCAAACTCTATACGGGCTTTCATATGTCTTGCACTGAGGAGAGGCTTCCGTCGGGCCACTCTGCCATAAAGCCCCGACTGGTGGAGGGCTGCAGTGATAGTTGACTTTGTGGAACTTTCTCCCATCTCCCTACTGCATCTCTGGAGCTCAGCCACAGTGATCTTTGGGTTCTTCTTTACCTCTCTCACCAAGGCTCTTCTTCCACGATTGCTCAGTTTGGCTGGACGGCCAGGTCTAGGAAGAGTTCTGGTCGTCCCAAACTTCTTCCATTTAAGGATTATGGAGGCCACTGTGCTCTTAGGAACCTTGAGTGCTGCAGAAATTATTTTGTAACCTTGGCCAGATCTGTGCCTTGCCACAATTCTGTCTCTGAGCTCCTTGGGCAGTTCCTTCGACCTCATGATTCTCATTTGCTCTGACATGCACTGTGAGCTGTAAGGTCTTATATAGACAGGTGTGTGCCTTTCCTAATCAAGTCCAATCAGTTTAATTAAACACAGCTGGACTCCAATGAAGGAGTAGAACCATCTCAAGGAGGATCAGAAGAAATGGACAGCATGTGAGTTAAATATGAGTGTCACAGCAAAGGGTCTGAATACTTATGACCATGTGATATTTCAGTTTTTCTTTTTTAATAAATTTGCAAAAATTTCTACATTTCTGTTTTTTTTCTGTCAAGATGGGGTGCTGAGCGTACATTAATGAGAAATAAAATGAACTTTTTTGATTTTAGCAAATGGCTGCAATGAAAGAAAGAGTGAAAAATTTAAAGGGGTCTGAATACTTTCCGTACCCTATCTGATATCTGATACAGATATACTATCTGTACAGCATACAATACCGTCTGTCCTTCCACCCTCGATTCAGATTAGAAAAACTCCCCAAATCCTCATTTACTATTATACTTTTACATCAAATTCAGCTGACACAAGATCACAGTAAATAGATATTTTTGTTAATGACACTCACATATTCTAATAGTGTGACCTGTCTGTAACATTCAGAGTGTTATTTACCTTACCTGCCACTATTACTGCCAGTGAAACACAATTATGTGTTAAAACACTTAACAATTTAGCAGAATAATACCTAAAAAATGAGCCCAGCCGCAGTTAATTTGATTTGCATAAAGTGGCACCAATTTAAAATTTAAAAAGTGTTTCTACTGCTGAACTTAGAATAATGGTTGAAGAGAAACTGCAATGTATCCATCATGCAAGAGGAAGGTAATAGTTAATTAACAGATCCACCTCATAACTATTACTGGCTGTTTTAATGATATGACACTGGACTGGAGCTGTGAGCCGTTAACAGTCAGGAGAAATTGATTTTATGGAAGGAAACATGTGAAAAACAACATACAACAACTGCTGCTGCTTTCTTTTGTTGAGCTTGCTGTACAGTTACTATAATGCATCTTTGAATTTGCTGCAATATGTGTATTGTATTTGTTACTGTGTGAACTATTAAAGCCTCAGCCTGTCTTACAGTTTGGTCCTAGCTATAGTGTCTCCCTGTGTCTGATGAACACACAGCATGTGTGAAACAGGCCAATGTTGTGTCAGCTAGCTATAAACTTTGCTTAATATATTTATCAGTTAACAATTACCAAAAGGCTGCCTGTTCGTTATTACGATATACATTTTAAATTATGATTCATGACGTCAAAACACGACTTATTTTGACTTGTTTAACACCAGTCATTAAACAATTTGCAGTATACATTTTCATCCGTAAAACGTTCCCAGCTAACACAACATTAGCCTGTTTCACAATTAATTGTGTGTATTTGGTCAGATTATATAAATTGGCAGGATGATAAGAATCAAAAGGCTAATGCTAGACTAACAGCAGATATCTGCAATAATGTCAGAATCATGTGATCACTATGTTAAATTACCCAAACAATTAAAACATAATTTTCCAAAACCACTGACGGATAGCAGACTTCAATAACTTCATAAGCCAAAAACCATGCCATCAAGCAGCGTGTCCCAGCCGTGTGCGTCACTTTTTAGTGTCCCTTGGAAACAGGCCCCGTACTGTTGTGCGCTCTTTGCAGTGTGTTTCTCTATTTGGTTGTTTTCTAATTTGCAGATTTCTTTTTAAAAAGCTGCACATGTGTTGTCAAATTGGTGAAGATGAAGGATTTCCTGTACACCTTCATCCAATGCATTCAGTGTTATCCTTACTTGTTGGGCGACTTGGCATCCCTAATGAGTAAAAACAGATATCCGCGGTGCCAGTGCGCCAACAGCTTGTGTCCATCAAAGGCGAAGCAGGGCCCTCGTTCATCGGGTTGGTACAGGTACACGCATTCCTCACCGGCCACAATGAACTGGGAGTCCTGGGAGGGATCTGCCAGGGAGGAGCAGCGCAGCGCACAGCCGTATGTGTCCAGCTCTACTTTAGCGTACTCCTTGATAGACAGGGTGTAGCACTGGGCAGGAAGAGGACAGGAGGTCAGACTGCATCTAGAGAAGAGTCACAGAAACAGTTATATGTTCTGGGAGTGATCAGACTTACATGGACTTTCTCCAGAGTGGCAACAAACAGATGGGTGACCTTTGCCACCTGGCGGAAAGCGAGGCCTGTGACTGGGCTGGTTCCCTCATGAAGAGTCAGAGTTTTACTGTGACGATCTCTGGTGATGTCACCTTTAGTTAAAACCACGCTGCCGTCTGTGAAGCCTATCAAGCAACACAACAACCACTATAAATTGGGAGGCCAAGCTGTCGAATGGCAGAGAGCAGGCCATTTCTTTGTGTCTTACCAATAGCCATGAAGTTGAGGTTTTCATGTACACTGAGGCAAGACACTTCTGTCGGTTTGTTGCCGGGAATTGCGGGGAAAATCCTAGTGCACAGAGGATTTCCACTGTCTCTCTTTTCAAGGTTCCAGACCTTGACCTGAAAAATAAGTACAGATTCATTTTAGTGGTGGTCCGTTCAAGTCGTTGCCAAAATTACTCGGTGTTTTAAGGTTCTGTGAAGAAGCGCTCACTTACTAGAGGGTTTATTCCTTGTTCATCCTGCCCCACTGACACAAGGATGCTGTGCTGCTTCAGCTGGTAGAGATGCGTTACCCGCAACTTGTAGGCCTGAAAAGATGTCAACTGCAGGGAGCGGGTCAAAAGCCAGATCTTGCCATCCATATGTAACATTGTAGTGGTTAAGAACAATTATGTATAGTTGTAGAAAGCGATGACATGTATGCAATGAACGGCAGTTCATGACGCTTCAGTTAAAACTTTCAATTCTTACCCTGCTGACCAATAATATAATAAAGTATTTCTGTAAGTAATATTTTGTATCTAAAAATACAAAAGCTGTGCATGCACGGCATGATACAAGAGACTGAATATATCCTCTGCATCAGCATGCAAAGTACTATTTTGTCCAAATGATTCAGTAATCACACCAAACTCACACCAGCGTCACACCAAACTCTGTTCTGTGTGTGTGTGTGTGTGTGTGTGTGTGTATATATATATACACGTGTATATATATATACACACATATATATACACATATACACACACACATATATATATATATATATA